CGCGTTCCCAAAACAGGTTCCGAAGTGACGTTCTCCGCGACGGGGATGACACGTCCTGTCCTTCTTCCTCTCGCTCGCCTATCCTTTTTTTTCGCACGTTTTTATCCGTTTTTTGAACATTATAGAAAAATTTGTCTAGAAAAATCGGTCTCGGTCTTTGTCCAAGTACTCGTTTGCTCAAGTATTGGAACACGACGCTACTCTCTATATATATATATATAATATATATTTATATATATATATAATATGTATATATCAATATATATTTTTAGTTATCAATTGATTTAGGTGAATTGGTACCTAGGTAAGTTTCGCTACACAATTATATCGATCGATTAGTGTGCGTGTGTGTGTGTGTGTGTATGTGTGTATAGCGAGTGTGTGAGCGTCTGTCGACGACGCGTGCTCGCGAAGTATGTGGATTGAGAAAAATTTTCGCCTAATATATATGAGCCGGTTTCGCGCGCACACGCGTGTGATTTCCACACATGCACGACCGTGCGCGCGAGCACGCCAGCGATTTTCTCATATACATATACATATATAAATTTACCCGCGATAACAACACGGATATGCCCGATCGCGGCCCGCGTTTTAATTTATTTATTGCCCGTGTGTGCCGCACGGATTATGCCACTCTTTCTTTCTCTCTCATTCTCTCTTTCTCTCTCTCTCTCTCTCTCACTCTCGCTTTTTCTTTCTCTCCTTTCTCTCTCTTTCGTTCGACTTATAAGAATGGTGACTCGTATGTAAAATTGCACTAACTAATGCTCACGTTCTCATTGTGCCCCTCTTCCTTCTTCGCGTCTCTCTTTTAAGTTTTTCTCATTCTCTCAGTGTCCGTTCTCCATTCCTCTCTTCTCTCTCTTTCCTCTCGATCGAAACAGTTCTGGGCTTCCGTTAAATGCGTAAGAAAAAGTCGATCGTGTTTGTTTAGAATTACTACGAGATAGCAACGGATAGAAAAATTTAATGTACTCACTCTACTAATTTATGTGTACAATTACATGCTAGTGTTTGCCCATCTTCTTCCCTTATCCGAAAACCTTTGGTCGCGCGGGCGCGATTTCTCTTTTCTACACACGTCCCTTGGTTTTTACTAGTTTCCTAATTTATCTAAAATTTTGCCCGCATTTCGATCAGATACGAACTTAATCCATCTTAATTGAGAACGCGAGTCAAAGAGGGCTGGCAATGAGAACTCGTTTCTTCCTCATCTGCTCTATCATATTGGATTTATTAATTTTTCTCCCCCTTCACCACACCACACACGTGTCCTCGTGTTTTCGCGGGCCGAACGGTGTCTCAGACGAAGGGACGGAGGGTCGTCGTTGAACGCGCCTCTCTTACTGCGACTTCCGTCACACAGCATCCGCCTAATAATAATTCCCTCCCGTACGGTGCTCTAATAAACGCCACCGGTTATCATCTCTACACGTGGCGAGATAAGATATATCATATATATATATATACAAAAAGGAGTACCAAAAAAATAAATATATATGTGTATATATATTTATATATATATATATATATCTT